ATTGTGCGGTAGTGTGTACTACACTGTTGCACCATAGGCAGTATGCGTACTTCTGACGTAGGTCATAGACCTCCTTGGTGATCTTATAAGCCGTCCATGGCTGTTGCCCAGCTCCCGTCGCCGCTGTCCCTTGTGTCGCCTTGTTCTTGCGAACTCTCTTCGGATGCTTCGGCGGGAGCACTGCGACAATTCCTCCATCACTCGAGGATGCTGCTGCAGCGTGGTGGTCGTCGATTTCCTTAGAAAACACAGCATTGTTATGTGTCGGACGTTGATAGGTCTGCTTAGCCACATAGTGCGGCTGGGATTGTCTCTCGTTAGCGGCCTTGTCGTCCGTTTGGATGACCAAGTTCGCTCGATCCAGAATGGCCTGGAATGTGGTATAGTCGTACTCATTACCGAGTGCCGACCGCAACCCCGCGCACGATCACGAGAAGAACTCGGATCGTTGATTTGGAAACGTCAAGTCGAAACCTGCTGTGGTCACTATCTTTTGCCACTTCGTTGTTCAGTCTCGAGTTGGCATGTTCCCTTGAGAGCATGTGTACACCTCATTCATGGCCGCCTTCACGACGTTGCGGACCATGAACCGGGTGAACCATAGCTGCTCGAACTCCTTCCACGTAATGTGCGTGTGGAGTTCGGCGATAGTGCACTTGTGTGTAGCCGCTAGGTGGTTCATCCATCCCTACGCTCCTCCAATCAGCTGCAGATATAGTGCCTTCAACATGTCGTCCGCCGGGACCATGCGGCATGATGCTTCCGTGAGGAAGCGTTGCCACCATGACAAGGCGTCCGACTTGTTGTAATCGTCGAACTTGCTGATGTCGAAGTGCGGCATCTTGAACGTCTTTGTAGCGGCTTCCAGTCTCGTCTGTAGTTTGGTGATGTCCGTCTTGATGGCSGCCACCGTGCTGCTGATCGAGTCTGGTCCGTTGAAAGTACTTATGTCGCCGATGATGGTGACGACATGATCGATGCGCTCGTTGAATTGCTTCGTCACGTCTGTCGTGCAGCCTGGCGCTGCTGAGGCGTTAGCCACTATGCTGTTGACGTGTGTGATAGTGGAATTCAACAGTTGATGCTGTTGCTGCTGCTGCATTGCCTCTGTGCGGATAGCAGTTGTTAACGTAGTCATATCATTCTTGTATGTTTGTCGCTGCGTCGCGTCCGTGCGCAGATGTGACTGCAGCAGTGTATTATTCCACATAATACCTCTCATCATGCCCAGCAGCAAGTTAGCCAGGTTACTTCTCTCTGCCTCCACCGGTGTCGGGTCTGCCTGCGCTTCTGTAGGCACAAAGATCATGTCTTGGAGTATCGTCGTCCACTGATGCTCACAAGCAATCAAGGACTCCGTGTTGCTGGCATTCCGTCTGTCTCGTGTCGCTGCGTCAGTCTCAGTCATTCGCTGAGCTTCGGCTGCCGCTTCATTGGCTAGCCACTGACGTTCTGCCTCTGCTGTCTCCTTCCGGGCCTCGACAGCAGCTACGGCTTCCGTAAATGCCAGTAGCCGCCGACGATAATCAGCCGCTGGCTCATTGGCTCCTCGGACTGGGTATGCGGGATGATCTCCGGTGGCGTCTTGTACCGTCAATGCCGTACTTGATGCTGCTGGAGTCGTCCGCCTGCTGAGTTTCTTCGGTCTTGGAGGTACTGCAGGGCGGGCACGAACTGCGATTCTGGCACTGCGTCGTGGCAGTGCCCCGGTGTCCTGTTCCGTCGACATCAGTCTGAACCGGTGCGGTACTTGAGAAGTCCCGGTAATCACAGAACACGGGGGGTAGGGAGAGTGGGAACAGGGGTAGAACAATCAAGCAATATACATACAATCCCCTGTCCCACTGATGGACTGTAGACACCTAATCAAACAGGAAAAAATAATTTCCCCGTAAACCCTTCGAAAAATTCGTAATAAGGAATTTATAACGATTTAATCAATAAAATTAATTAATGATAATTAACGAAATAAATCCGAATGATAATCAATAAACAATGTTTGTAATAAAGATAACCAATTAATGATAATCAGTAAAACAATGTTTGTAAATAAAGATAACCAATTAATAAACGAATTTAAAAGGTATTATGATTAGGTCTCTTTGAGATCACTATGAGACCGGGAGTTCTCCGTTTAATAAGTGAACTGCCCGGTAGTTGCAATTTAAGGTCAGATACGGCTTAGTGTGCTAAAAAAAAAATTCGGAAAATTTCAGAAGAAAAACGCTCGAATTTTCAAAAATGCGAATTTTTGGGAATTCCCACCGTCAAAATCCGATTTTTAAAGCCTAAACCTATTTTCGGAGTTTCTCAAACAAGGAGAACAAAAAAAAATTCGCGAAAATTTCGGTCCCAACCCTAATTTCTGCGTTTCGGCAAAATTTCCGGATTTACGGTCCCAAAACGTTCGAGTTTCCCCAAGTTGATCTAAAGCCAAAAGATTTTCATAACCCTAATTTCCATACTGAAAGACAACGGAGATTTCAAGAGAAAACAAAATATAGGATTTACAACAGAATGCCGAAAAACGGAATGCTGAATGAAAATCAGAAAAGCCGAATTTCTAACATGATACTGATTCAACCCTAATTACGAATTACTTCATCAGAAATCCTGAATCAAACAGAATGTTGGATTAGTATCAATCTCTCGGATCTAATTAAACAGCATACCGTGTACAACAGAAATCCGAAAAAAGGGTCCGAATACTGAATTGAAACGGAAATGCTGAAATAGCCAGATTACCGAAAGAAAGAAAATTTGCAATTTTGAACTTGATAATACTTCAGCGCCGATTTAGAAGATCAAACATGATAACCTAATTCTAAACGGACTTACCTGGTGAGCAGATCCGTTTTGGTCTGCTCCGATACCAAAACTGTTACATACTTCAATGAGTATGGGCAGAACCAAAGATCAACCAATATAGGATGAGCATTTATGCAGCGGAAGTCTGATAACGAACTGACTCACATAGACTGACTCACATAGACTGACCTACAT